CCCCAGCCCGCTCACCGCCATCACCGCCGCCTCTTCCCGCCCCGCCGGATCCCGCGCGAAAACCCACCCACGTGGTCAGCAAAAGCGCGCGAAAGCTCATGAATAATGGAGAGACTCGGGGGCGGGCCCCGCCCCGCCGCCTGAATATGGATGAGGCGGTGGGCGGGGTCTGGAGCGGGCGGGGGCCACGGCTGTCAGCCTGGGCACGGCCGAGGGGTCGCCTGGTGGTCAGCAGTGGCAAACTGTGACAAATTTTGGCAAATTTGGGGCATTTCCCTCCCGCCGGGAACCTGAGCCACGGGAGAGATCCCAGAGATCCCCTGGGAATTCCAGTGTCCGTGTTCCCATGTCGGCCGGGAAAATCAAGTCTGGCTTGGCCAGGTTTGCCACTGACCCCACTTCGGTCAGGTTCTCAGTAAAACTACAAGAGGTAGGAAGGGGGTTCCGGCGTTCGGGTTGGGTTTTATTTTGTTTTTTTTGTTTGTTGTGTGTCAGTCTGAAGGTGATGACACTAACCGGAGCAGCTCTGAAGAACAGACACATCTGTCTCTGCAGCTGCTTGGTGCAGCGAGCAATGCCATTTGGGAGAGGAATTGAAGAACGGTCCCACAGGAACTGGAAGAGGAATTTAGAGAGACAAAACAAACGAGGGGATGATGTTTGAGGAGGTGGTGAAACACTTCCACTCCCGGCCACAGGCTCTTTCATAATGCGGTGGCTTAGATTTTGTCTTCTCTGCAGGGTTTCTGAACAGGATTTAATATCAGGCTATTTGTGCTCCTGCTGCACTCCAGCGTGGGGCAGTAACCCTGAAAGAGGAGACCCCAGAAGCAAAAGTGACTAAAGAGGCAGCTGACAATCACAGACCTGAAATGGCTCTTCCAGGAGAGCCGCTGGATGAATCAGCCTGGGACTGATATAGCAAAGCCGGAGCAACGCGATATAAATAGGAGCGTGGCTCAGCCTCTTCTCCGCGACACACGACGGGGAGCTGGCTGCTGCTCGGAGTGAAGCAGGCACAGGGATCCCCCCAGAGATGTGCCCACCTCTCAGGTACTAGAGGCCACTGTGGCTGGAAGGAAGGGCCTTGTGGAAGGCCTGGGAAGGCCCAGGTGGATGAACCCGTCTCCCTCACAGCTTTCCTGTCCGCCCTCCCCAGCAGCCCAGGGACCGTGCCCTTGATTTCACTGCTCTCGTTGGGTGCCAGCCACAAGGGGTGAGCTGGGGCGCTCAGTCCCTTTGGGAAGGGATGAGGCTGGGCGGATAAAACTAGCCCTAAAATCAGGTGGCTGTTGTGCGCGGGACAGGGCTCCTTCTGCTGTGCTAGAGACGATGCGCTGGGGCATGGGAGAGGGCTGAGACGCAGGCAGGGCCCGGGCTGCTCACTGGGGTGAGCTCAGCTGAGCACCAAACTCCCAAATATCAAAACGCAACCCTAGAATTTTGCAGGTTGGTGGCTGACAGCACAGCAGGAGACCTGGAGACTGAATTTCCTGTGGAAAGAAGGTCAGAGACACAGGAATACAGCCCCCCTGGTATCCTGTGGTGCAAATTTGTGCCTAATACTAGAAATCAGTGGGGTGGTAGAGAACCTCTGAAACAAGACAGGCACAGCTGTCCTTGCCGTTGCTCAGCACCTGAACAGCAAAGCAGGTGAGAAGTAATGTCCTGTCCAGTAGACTGATCTAATAATAGTTGGAAGAGTATTTTAGAGAGATAAAATGACCTAGAAGAGTGGAATTTGGTGGCGATACGAGGGTGTAATGCTGTCCTGGAAGAGATGACAGCAGACTGCTGGAGGTACAGCACCAAGTGGCAGCTTTCCTTGGGGCCCTCGAGGTTATACCAAGGCTGCTAAATGTCACCTCTTGTCTTGCTTCAGCTGGCGACAGCAGGTGACACCGCGAGGCCAAGGCAGCGAGCCCGCCAACTTTGGGCACTGCCTGGAGGAGATGCGGCCCTCGGCTGGAGCGGGAGCGAGCACGTGTGGGGTTAAGGAGATGGGGCAGTCCTTGGAGGTGGGAAAGAGCAGAGTTATGTCTGCAGACACCATGTTCGGGCTGAAAGGTAGGGGTTGTTAATACAAAGGAACCGTAAGTGTGGATTTCCCACCTCCTCTGTTACACACAAGCAGCGAGGAAGGCAGGACCTAAAGTGTCGCAGCCCTTGCAGTGGCACCCAGCAGTCTTCTGCCTGAGAGGCAGCTTTTGGATCTGGTGTCCCAAGCGCTGGGCTCCAGCCTCAGATTGAATCAGATGGAAAGAGCAGGTGGATTGGAAAGCAAAATCTCTCCTTCTGACACAGTTATGTGGGAGGTAACATGTTCAATTAGTTAGCGCCTGAGGCTACGAGTGAGAAGACGGATTTTAGTCCTGGCTCTGTTACCAAGGCACTTTTCAGACAGAAGCACTCCACCTCTCTTTAAACAGAAACGTCCCTTCTATATCTCAGAGATGTTGGTGCCTGTCAAGCCTTCGAGCTTGGATCCCTAAATAGATCATGCAAAAATATTGCAACATACCATTAACCTGAACGACAGTGTGAGAAGAGACAAGCTATGGACCGGCTTCTCCAGATGTCATTCCAAAGGCATGACACCAGCACAAAAACCTGTTTCAACCCAGTGGAAAATCAGAGGAATAGGGCTGAGGTAGGAAGGAAACACAGTCTCAGGGTACATCCTCTCCATGAGGCTTGCTGCAGCGAAGCTGGAAGATTAAACCCGAGAAGAGGATCAAGCAGACTGAAGTTGCGACAGATTTATGTGTGGGGTGGGTCTGAAACCCTCTGTGCGTGCTGCTTGCTGGAGCAGGGCACGCTAACTTGATTAATGTGGGGATCTTCGACAGAGGCGTAGGCTTTGTACAGCAAATTTCAGCTTAGCAAAAGCCTTGCTATAGAAGCAATCCCTAGAGCCCCAGGTGAACAACCGTTAGAAAACCAAGCCAGAATTTATCCTCCAGTCCTTGAAACAACTCCGATAACAAGCATCCCCCTTGAAACTGTTCACAGTCAGATAGCTCTTACTACTGTTATTTAAGCAGTTATTTCCTTTAATTTCCCTTTTAAATGTTGGTTCATTTATCCCAGTTGTTTCCTTGTTTAATAAACTTCTCTTTTCTTTGCCTGGTGTTTGCACCTCCAGATCCTGGTCATTATTTATCATGTTTACCTTTAGCTGCTATTCTCCAAGCTATGCTGAGTTAGTTCAGTCAGCTTTAAACCTTCCTTACAAGCCAAACTCTCCAGGTTGTTAATTATTCTCCCCTGTAGGAACTTGATTATAGGATCTGGTCCGTGGAAGAAAATTATTAACTCCCCTGCCTTGAAATCAGTAATTCCACAGAAGCAGCCCGTTCATCCTGGCCTCGGAGGTGCGCGGCCGTGCTGGCTCACACCAGCAACTGCTGCCAGGTGCGATGCCGGGCTGTGCGGGCCGGCCTGGGCTGAGGGTCAGGCTGGAGCCGCCACAGCCCGCGTGTTACAGGCAGCACCTCGCACCGCCGGCCTGCGGCGGGCCAGGCCCGGGGGCACGGCCCTGCC